TTCATTAAAGATTTCATGTGACAGTATTCATCAATTGAAATTTTGGCTGGGTAATATTGTTGATAAATCTCTTATTACAAGACTTGTTTGTTCTGATGCCAGTGATAGTGGTTTTGGTGGGTAGATTGGTAGTCAAATGGTCAGTGGACTGCGGAGGAAGCTCGTCAGAGTTCTACATGGAGGAAGTTAAGGGCTGTTCACTTGACATTACTGAGCTTTATTCCCAACCTAAAGAACAACCGTGTTATGTGGCGTACAGACAATGCAAACGTTGTGTCAATCATTGAGAAAGGCAGCATGAAAATACATTTGCAAACTTTGGCTTTACATATATTTGAAATATGTACAAAACAGTCAATACAGTTGTATATGCAGTTGATTCCACGATGTGATAATCAGCGAGCTGACTATCTTAGCAGAATGATTTATTATGGTGACTGAGGTATTTCAAAGACCATATTTCAGCAAATTGAACGGAAATGGGGTCCACATCAAACAGACAGACTTGCGTCATATTATAACACTAAACGTCAGTGTTTTAATTCCAGGTACAGCAGTCCTGGAAGTGACGTTGTGAACTGTTTCACGGTCAACTGGGGTGGCGTTATGAACTGGGTGGTTCCTCCTGTATGTTGGGTTCCGAGGGCAATCAAACACAGGTGAGAGATTGGATGTTTTTGCCACGATCAAAGGAGGCTTATGTTACCAGTAGAATAAAGGTTGGCATGTTTAGGGAGTGAGATCTTTCATTTAACATGTTAGCTCTTAAGATTGATTAAGACCGTCTTTTGTGTGTTTCAGATATATTCCGGACAACCTATAGTTATGAGATTGCTACACTTCCGAGAGGTGTCGGTGAATTAGAGGGGTGTCTTCCAGGCCTCTTAGCTGGATGTAGAGCTGATTCTACAACAAGAAAGTATACCTATGTCTTTGGAGCTTGGAAAAGGTGGGCGATCGTCAATTCTATGTCTTTAACATTGCCATTGTCGCCATTGCACTGTGCGTTATACCTGTTATCTGTAATTCAGCAGTGATTCTATACCTCCAGTTCAGACAGCGTTCTATAGCATTCGTCATGCTCATACTTGTATTGGATTAGCAAGTCCAACTGATAATTCACTGATGCGTAATGTTTTGGAGGCAGCAAGGCGTAAAATGGCTAATGATGTATGTAAGAAGGAGCCAATTACGATTAGCTTGCTAGAAACGTTGTATGATGGTAGAATGGCAGATCCATCACTGTATGATTTGAGAATTATGTCAATGTGCTTATTAGCCATTGCTGGGTTTTTTAGGTCAGCAGAATTGTTGCAGATCACGAGATCAGACATTGTATTTTATGATGCTCATATGATGGTATTCATTGAGCAGTCTAAGACTGATGTCTACAGAGATGGGGCGTGGCTGGCTATTTGGCGGACAAACACCAAGCTTTGGGTATATAAGGGTAGGATTTTATAATGTCGCCTCTATCGCTTGCTCTAACGGCAATTCAATTAACAACATGTACATTTATTGATGTTTGATTCTCTCTTTTTTATTATTCCGTTTCTAATATCTTTTTCATGTGTTTCAGGCATTTCGTTTGAGATGTGGACGTGTGGCGGTGAGGCCACATTCTGTTATGGTCATCTGTCTCTGTTGACAGGCCAATTATGTTGATGATGCTGGAGAGCTGTTATAATACTCATTGGTATAATTGTGTTAACCATCACATGTGTATTGTAGCTGCAGAGCCTTTAGAATATTTTGTATATATGTCTGCATTTCATTTGCTACACAATGTACGGTAGGCTGCAGAGCCATTAGAATACTTGGTCTTGGAAATGTTCGGTTGGCAGAATCATTATAATACTGCTGTATTGGGTATGTGTGACCCATGTTAGATGAGTAAAATAAGGATTTTTGTGTATAATTTGTATTTGTAAAAGTATGTTTGACCCGTGTAAAGGGTAAACCAAATACTGTATACTCCCCACTTACTGGTGCTATTGCATTCGTAGGGAGAACACGGTTCCAGAGCTTTTTGTTTCCACAATTTTTTTATCTCTGGTTTTGTGTGTCGGGCTTCAGCCACCGTTACCATCTGTATGTTTCGATATGTTATATTCTATATGTTATAACATATGTTATAATGGTATATGGAGTGATGTGATGGTACTGTGTGTTGTGTCTTGCGTGTTGTGCTTCGTAAATAAACTGCCGTGTACCGCACAGCCGTTTCAGTGTAAATTGTGTTCCGTTGTGTTTTAGATGATTATTAGTGTTTGGTGCGGTCTAGGAGAACATGAAAGGTTGTCACGATCAAGTCAGTGTGTATAAGAGGATAGTGAGATGCCACATCCGAAGTAAATCGCACTTGTGCAACGGGACATCAACAGACACCATTAACTGCCCGACGAAGGAAAAGACAGAGGGCTTCTGCAAATGATAATGCCCTGAAAAATAGCGTTGCCGTTATTATAGCTAAAATGGATGGAATTTGTTTTCAAATAAGAAGAAATAACAATATCGGTTTTTAAACATTTACTGCAATCAACACTAATGTCACTGACCCACTTAAAAAAAATATGGAAATGTCATAGAACAAAACGTCACTAACCCAACCCTATCACGTCACCTAACAACGGGCGTGATAATGGCCTGTCGTCAAGCAATATGATGGCATTATCAAGTTACATTAACCCGCCGAATTCTGATTACATGTGGGCGGTTTAATGATATTTCTATCCATTTTAGCTATAATATTGTATTATTTATATTGTATGGTCTCTGAGTAATCACTATCAGTAATTTAAATTTATGTTGTATCGACATAAAGACAAATACAAGCCAACACACACATCAGGTATTTACAAGTTTAGGAATTAATAACAAATTGAAATGATAAATTTAAACGCGGTACGAATAACATAAAATCATAAACATTCATGATTATTAGGCCAATTATTTCAGCAAAGGCTAAAATCAAAGAATAAACATTCCATTAATTAAATATTTAGCTGAATCTGGAATTTTAGAATCCAAGTGTATTTTCAAAGGAGTTCCTTGTTCAACTTTTCGAGAAGCAAAGAAAGTGGTTGTTGCTCAAGAAAAAAACAGATCCGTGGGTTTTCTTCTGCTATTTTTCTACAACCCCCACCTCCAATTATCCCTTCCAGGGCTGGATCGCTTCAGTGGTCCGTAGATAGAGCGTCTGCCCGGAGAAAAGATGGTCGTCGGTTCGATACCCTTGTGGCGTCACACCAAAATACGTTAAAAGATGACACTTGTTACACTGCCTGGCGTTCGGCAATACTGGAACAAAATAACGATGAGACTTTGTATCTCTGTGGGCCAGTACTATAAAACCGGCTTGTTGCCACGCACACACAGGTGCGCGCAGATCATTATATACATTGTAAGTGCAATAATCCCGAATGCGACGATAAACCGAATGCGAACGTTAAAAAACGTTTTCGTCAGACAGCACATCTTTTCCCAATTGTAGTAATAGTAGCAGGCCCATGTAAATAACTACGTAAGGGATATGTTTTCCGAAACCACGCGGCGCATGGTCATCACAGGGATGGCATATCACGTCTATCCAAGTTATAGCCCTGAGAATTTTTCTTTGACACATGGACAAGTTCAGATCATCGTCGACACCCAAGAAGCATTTACTCTATGTCAACGAAACAGGGTATACGTCATCATTAGGGTGGTACCACGATATAGAAGTTCAAGGTTTTATGATGATAAGTTCATGTCATTGATATTGACGGTCAAATTGGCACTGGAAAATGTGTAATGTTTGGGTTAACTCAAGAGGTGTTCACTGTGGTAGGATGAGGTATATATCATCACCATGGTGGGGCATTCAATTGGTATGGCTTTTACGTTAAGGTTATGTGTACGGAAACAACTTTGTATGATGTGTTTGTAAGAGATAGTGCTCATAAAAATAATCAGGCATGGGATTAGTTCAAGTTCTATAACAAGGTCACATACCTCTTTCATGACAGTAGCTAGATTGGAGGCATTTGTTACTTAACAAAAGATGGATAATAACTAAGTCTTCGTGTTAATGTAGCTAGAGACATGGGACTTCTGTTTTATAGGCGCATTGCATATGTTATATTTCCAGCAGTAAGTGATATCATTCATCCGGTAGTGCATATGACATTGGTATTAAAGTAGCTAGACACATAGGACATTTTTGTTTTAAATAATACATCTTGGAGACAGTTCTGCAAGACCAACATCTTTTCCACACAGTTCATAAATATTTTGCCCTTGATTTCACCAAACGCCAAGGGTTGATAACAGAGAAAACATGTTCTGATAGTGTGGTGATATCTATTTTCCCTTTTGGTGATTGTTTATTAAGCAAAGAAAACCAACATCGTGAGAGTGTAATATGCACATTATTTATCATCGCAACTGTTTTTAAACAGCATTACAAATCGTTTCATTCTCATTAAAGATGACAAAGAGCATCCGATTCAAGACTATTCAATTAGGGAAACGTCTCGTCCGCAGTGCTCATAGATGGTTCTTTCTTTGATTTCATCAAGCGGCAGAGGGTTGCTCATAGAAAAGACATGGTCTTCATCAGGGGCTGAAGCTACCTCGCCTATGTCAACCATGTCAGTATCTGATGAAATTGGAACGACGTAAACAGCTGCTGCTGTGAGCAGACGTCCAATGTTCTTATCGATGTCTGACTTCTTACTACTTTTGCCATCCGTAAATAAGATAACAACATTTTCAGCATCTGGACGGTCGCCATTGCTCTGCACAAACACATCGGATACAGCCATGTTGATAGCATCGCCGAGGAATGTAGAACCGCCGACTAGTTGTGGGGCGTTAACAGCTGCTGTCTTGTTGTCACTGTATGCATTCAAGGGAAATACTAGTCTCGCCTTTCCTGCGTACACCATCAGAGCCATGTCCACAATGCCGGGATTTATATGGGCATAACTGACCATTTCAATTTCAAAATCCTTAATCGTCCTTTATTCCTCTTTAGAGATTGATGACGAGACGTCCTCTATGAGAAGAATGTCCATTTTTTTGTTGCTCACATTCTATAAAGATAACATGTGTTGGTATGTAAATATTTCCAGCAATGATATGTTTGGGAATCAGGATTATTAATAAGACAATTTCTTCGTCGTCTCGTGAAGCCCCAAGTTAAAATAGGTCCCCAGCAATCAAATGGAGCGACTCAATTCCATCTATTGTCAGGATCAAACTACTCATTAATATGTCTGTACCATAACAGCAACCACTTTTTTGTATGACCAATATCAGATTATTTAGTTTCAAACACTCAATTTTGCAGTAGTTCTGTATCAAGTCGATAAAACAGTAATGTGTGAGAAAACAAACCAAATGGAGCTGATTTGGAAATCTATAGCAAACACACTAGAGTCAACAATTTACGGAAAAGAGGTTGATCACTTTTTCGGTTAGGATAGAAACTTTATCAGTTGCGTACACTTGACGGAAAAAAAGATTCTCACCTTAAGTCAACTTATAGATATGACACGTACAGCAGTAGTATAAGAACGTAGTAAGGTGGAGGGGCTGATGATTGACAGTTTGTGCCCAATTAATTTGCGACTGACATGACAAAATATGAAAAGATTTCTTCGTTACATGTATGTACATATTTGTACACATTGTATATCTACAAGTGTAGACCAAAAGGTTTTTATTAGGGACATCTTCTTCACTGGCGCACTATTACATACTTTTTACACACAAAGGACCAGAATATCCGAGCAGACATCTACAATAGAAGTTGGTCGCATTACTTGTGCATATCCCAGCATTCTGACAAGGCGTTTCAAGGCATGTGTCTGTAAAGGAAATCATTAAGGGGGCGCTGTTAGAGACACTGGCAGAAGTGCTTTTTAAACCTTCTGCAAGTAAGAACACTTTAAAGCAATCATCAGACACTGTTGCTTACCTCTTATGTTAAATGAAGACTGATATATCCCAATTCATATTGAGTACATGGGTTGGATGTTAGTTAGGGCGATTGCTACATTTCGTTCATTCTTTCAAAATGGACTGTATGTTGTAAGAGCAGAGAAAGACGCCAAAAGTAAATGATCGTTCGGCTTATCAGATTGCAAGGTGTTTGGACGTCAAAGGTGTCTTTGTCTCATTTTCAAATGAATAGTCTTATTCAAAAACGTTTGCATGATATATTTTACATATAAAACGTAACCTTTGGCAACATCAGATGTAGCCACAAGTAATGCATCAGTGCTACGTACCAGCAGCCTTGCAAGTAGATCTTCCATCTCCGTTATAGCCAGGTAAACACTGGCATTCATAGGACCCGTTATTTTTGACACAGGGGGCTTTGGGGTGGCAGTCTCGGGGTGCATTCCGGCAACCGTTGAGAGGATCTTAAAAGAAAAACACCTTGGTAAACCTGATCATGATAATTTGCCATTTCAATGTATGTGTCTTTAAAAACATAGATACCAAAATCAAAGTTTTACTTAAATAGACAACCTCGTTCTATGTAAGAGGACTACGTAAGTTGGCTAGAGATCTGGATTTAGTTTGGTCACTTGGCTAACCATGATAGAAGATAGATTATGAAGATTACAGCATATGTAACATGTAAGGTTATGACAACACACGAGCTTATAATGGTAGTTGAAATCAATAGTAGCAGTAATTGTACAATGCCATAACAGTGACGCCCACTTTCTAAGTTTGCAACATCTGGTAAAGATGATGAAGAAAATGGTTCATCTTCAATTTCCCATGATTTGGTTCGGCTTGGGCTACCAAGATATCACATTGGTCTCGTTGACCATCATGTTACTGAGTTTCCTATATTGGGATATTTGCGGTTCGTGTTTTCCGTGACATTGTCTCCTATGATAGATATAGTCATTAACAAAACCAACCCATACACAGTGTAATGTTTAACGGAACATTTTATTTTCGAGGACATGGGTAGGACTGCCTGAAACAGATGTACAACACATGTTTCATACTTACTTTCACCCACTTTTCCAGTATACCCTGCTGTACACACACAACCCCAATACCCGTCACAAGTTGCTCCGTTCTGACATTTTCGCCCGAAGCATAGTGGATTTGGATTTGAATACAAACAAAGTAGTGAGTCACAAAATATCAGATCTGTTTGCTAAATAATCATGAAGTCACATAATATTTAGCTGGCAAACTGGCAAACTCAAAGCACGCTTTCTTTCGGTTTCAGGTATAAGAACGATATTTGATAATGATGTAAAAATGTAATGATAGACAAATATGATATACATTATTTGATGTTTCACCTGTTGAGCAATGTGATAATTTTGCATGATACGGTAACGTCTTGGTAAATCAATGAATTGCTGGTGTGGAAGTATGTGTATTATTTACTGTGTGTTAGGTCATTATGCATCAACAAACCACCTTCATATAGCTGGAATATTCCTGATTGCGTCGTTACATAAAAAAAATAATATAATATTTATCCTGGAGCTGGCTGATGCCCTTCCCTGTGACTAAAATGTTAGTTACAATGCATGCTCTATCTATGATATGCAACTGTAACTTAAAATATGTACCTGTTTAAACTTTTCTTTGCTGTTGTGCTGGTAATTGTCTTTGAAATGATACTTACAGCAACAAATGCCACTTTACGTTATTTTCTAAGTAAAGCAGGTTCCCCCATTCTGGTATCATTGTAAGCGCATTGAACTTAAACGATTGTGAAAATGTAAACTAAAATATATTATGCGCATCAATTTAGGTTTGACCTGATAGATCTGATAACGATTCAAATTATGCATTAACTACAATTAATGACCCATAATGGTATTGGAAATATGTTTGTACATAATATATATTGTTGGTACATTAAGGCACTCTTATTTACTGTGTTGTCTTACAGTGAACAAATAAAACTGATATGTCCTTGCACAGACATTTGCTTTTGATGTTTTCCGGAGAAATAATGAACATTATATAACGTTGAATGGAGAGGTAAAACATTCCATACTACCTGCACTCTGTTGTGAGAGGCCTTTCCTTCTGATGTTACAATTTACTGTGAGCTTCGTCAGGCTGGTCTCATATATGTAGTTGTAGCACGGGTTGCAAGCGGTACCTTTGATCTTACCCGTGCTGTATCATGGTGAGGTGAAATTGGGTTTAACGTCGCGTATTGCTCTTATATAGCGACGTGCATGCACGTGTGTGTGTGTGTGTGTGTGTGTGTGTGTGTGTGTGTGTGTGTGGTTGCTTGTACTGGAACGGACTGATGCCGATTTATAGTGCTAGCCCACTGAGATACCATGCCGCAGTTTAACATGAATTCCCCACTCAGACACAGTATACTGACTCCGAGCCGACCAGTCCTTGCTTTAACCCCTTAATGCCGAGCGCCTGACAGGGTAACAACAAGTACCATCTTTTAACGTCTTTTGGTATGACGCGGCCGGGGATCGAACCCCGGGCCCGGACCTTCCGCTCTCCGGACGGACGCTCTACCACTAGACCACGGAGGCGGTCCTGTATCATGGTAGTAAGAGCACGGTTTGTTAAAGATTATTACCATTGGCTGATGCCAAGATCAGCAAGCCCCGCCTACTAGCTTGAGAAATTTCAAACTTACAACAATGTTACTTTAGTGTTGTACACAGTGTTCAAGAGTAATAACGTAAATAAACAACAAAAAACAATAGAAATGTTTATAACTTAATTAAAATATTACAATGTAACTGTCACACATAAAAACAACTGGACACAGAACGCATTTTCTAAATTCGGAAAATTAATAGTTGACATTTCTAATGTGCCTTTGAAAATTCCAAAGTTTACACTTGATTTAACAATTAGATTTAAAGTTAAAAACAGTTCGAAGGCAGAAAGCATGTGACGTCATATCTAACGTCATATTATACGTCACTAAATTTTACACAAACTCGCGCAATTTTGGAATGACCGTCGCAACCCGTGCTACAAGTCAGTTACAACACACCCACCTACTCGTTGTTTGGGCAGTAAAAGCACGGATTGGCTTGGTATTTGATTGACAGACAAAAGGATCACCTCGGGGCTCCGCCCCTCGGTCCTTTTGTCTGCCAATCAAATGCCAAGCCAAACCGTGCTCTTACTGCCCAAACAACTCGTCTTGGTGTGTTGTAACTATAACACACGTTGTTGTATCGCAACAGGTTGAAACAAGGTATTGGTGGATCATTTGGCTACAAGGTAACAACGCAATTGATACAAACATGATGGGTTACAGTTTGACACTGATGTATTACATTTAGGAAACCAAGACACAAATCACCTTACATATGTACATTTTTATGATGTTCGACTGCTCTGTATCATATTGGCGATAGCTTGGTGGAACTGTGTGATCGAATGACTGCCCTGGCTGTGAGATGCCAACGTGTGCAATGTTTCATACACGAAGTAGTTAGGTACTTTGCTAATAACTTAAACATGCTCTCGGTAGTTTTGTAAAATCCACATGCATTAATTCCACTTATCTCAAATATGTTCTGCGAATATAAAGAATATCCTTCCTTGGTTGTCATCTTGGCGATTGTCGTTTTGTGGTACATTTGCTTGACGCAGCAATATATATCTTTGTACGGATTGTCATGGAGCTTTGGAATCTATTACAAACCGGAATGCATTTGTGTTCAAATTTAAGTATCAAGCCAAAACTTGGTAGTACTAATGCGGTTGTTCAGGAAGGATTCTTCCTCAGTTAACAATCTGGCCTTTTATGTGTCATTATTTCATATGGGGCCGCTTTCGTGGAAGAGCGTCCGCCGGGAGAGCATAAAGTCGGGGATTCGATTTCTGGCCGTGTCATACCCCAAAAAATAAAAGATGGTAGTTACCCTGCCTGACGCTCAGCAAGGACTGGTCGGCTCGGGGTCAATATGTTGAGTCTGACTTGGTATTCATGTTATCTCAGTGGGCTGGCACTTTAAAATCGGCGTCAGTCCGGACTACTACGAGCAGCCACACAAACATATGTGCATGCACGTCGCAAAATAAGTGTAAAAATCTTGAACGCGACGCTAAACCATATTTCACTTCACCTTATTTGATATGGCACGTATACTAAGTTCAAAACAACTCATATGGTGATGCTTACGTGTGTGTAACGGCCCGTTTTGACTAGGCCCATTTTGACTAACCGATCCACAATTTTATTTCAACCCACTTTCTGCGGGCCACTTTACCAGTTGATACAAAACTGTGAGAAGTTTTTCGACGAACAAAGAAAAAAAATGGAAATTACGTGTTAATATTGTAGAATAAATTTTATTTGCGATATCAGACTCTTACAAACATACAACAATGTTGGGCCAATGATGTTCCAACATTCTAAAGTATTACCCAGCTATGAAACCATTCATGTGTCGCAAAGAGAACATTGATAGTGGGCAGCAAAACGTATTAAGAGTTACCTCCCTTGATAATGCGAAGGAGCCGTCTGGCATAAGGTAGATCTATATTTGTTTATGCTTTTTCAATAGCGCATTGTTTGATTTTAACCTGTCCTACGAAGCCTGTGAATGTTGTAAACTTATGACCAGATAGTAAAGGTCTGTTTCTTATTTAGCACGCCAGGCGTCCTCACACACTGATTAGATCAAGGCCCTTTCAGTGTCACGATGTTTGAACTGTACGAAATCTCGCTTGCAACAAGCCTTCGAGTAACGTTACCAGTGATACAGATCGTCCAATCTTTAGGATATTTGCCTACCCATTGTCACAAATGTCCCATTGATTTTGCAGAAATTATACAGCAGTCTATGGGAATGTCCTATTGAAAATTCTAAACATCAGAGATTTTCCAAGAAATGTCCTATTGTCATTTTCCTCAGCTACGTAGATCTAACATAGCTTGTCTGTTCAGAGTTAATAACAATGTTTTTGTGTGACATTAGACATGTGACTGTTTACAGTTCAGTAGACATATTGTGCTGTTGACTTATTTTGTGCACATAGGAATTTATTTTACCTTTTACCCTAACTGTGTATTTGACTGAGGTAATAGCCAAGTGTACATTTGATAAAATAGATATAAACTGGTTAGAAGTGATACATGTATATGTATCATGTATATATGTATAGTCTTTTGTAGAATTTATTTTGCTTGTATTTCATACACACTAGTGTAACGGTGGATATGTAATATATCTATATGTAGTATACTTATTTGTGCAGGGCTATTCACTGTACATCAATAAAGGAGGTTCCAGCCTGCGTCCCTGAGACAAGGTATGCATGATTAACTATGTATAGACTG